GACGCGTATTTCGGCGTCAGTTCGTCTTGGCAGGGGATATCTCCCCGAGGGACTGAACGACCGAAAGACACTGTGCAACCGGCGAGGCTGTAATGCCGAAACACGTGTTTTGCATTCAACTCGATGGCAAATCAGTGCAAATAACTCGAATCATAAGTGAGGTTAGGAGGGAACGTAAACAAACGTACTCTTCGAAAGTGGTCAAAAAAACATCATCACATCTTTGAACTTGAGGGTGATCTCGTGCGCCTTTCTACCAATGGCTGTGATGAATTGAAAGCTTTGATGGAATCAAATATACTCATTAGTATATTGTGCCCTGTCATTAGAAAAGATTAGAAAGTAAATAAAACTGAGAACACTGCAATTTCAGCTACTGGCTTAGCCATTGCTCCTTTTCGTGTTCCTCAGATCAGTTCAGCTGGGAAGTGACTGTTGACAGCACTCATGGAGTAAAAACTTGGCTGAAAGGTAAAGTAATGACTCAGATTAAAGGTGCTTGATGTGTTGAGTAACACATGGCCTTCCGCGAAAGATGATTGCAAGTGCTAAGCCCATTCGAGGCTGAGAGTTTTGTTCATTATCACGGTGTCATCTGAAATACACTTGACATCGTACTCAAATATACAAAAATATCAATTACTAAATAGAAGCGAAACAGACGCAAATGTTTTGGAATCCACATAAGAACATAGTGTTAGTATTTTAACTGTTCTGGTACATCTGAAGGAACAAAGCGAATAGTCGCAAAAGTCTCTCAAATGAAGATCGTACTAATTGAATGAAATCAGTTTGCTGTTTTGAAGTGTCGTAGGTATTACATTTAAGAATCCAGAGCCATCCGTTTCTCAACTATATTGCGACTTGGCACAACAAAAGGACCCTTTCGAGAAAAAGTAACTTCCGGCTCAACGACTGGGTTGTGAAGAAGCTCCTTAGCATTTACCATAATTGAAATTGCAGCGCAGGAAGGTCATGTTGACTGGCTGATGGTCGTTCGTGGGTTTGACAAGTCCCTGCTTTATGGACTCGAATAAAATGATAAAAAAGTGTAACAAGTAACAAAAAGTCGCATAAAGAACGTTCTTTGAACAAGCCGAATTTAAGAACCTAGTTAAATCTCAAACTGCCTTCATCGACTTCAGTGCCTACAGAACTTATTAATGCTATGCAGCTGGAAGAAACAACCTTGTTGCTCGTGGGCAAGATGTTTTTGAATTGTTTTCCCAAAAATTTTGACTGATAAGGTTACCTTGGCTTAAGCCACCTTGGAATAGAATTTGAAAGTCCATGTAATAGCCCAACAAGGTAATCCATCCGGACATCCAGCACACCTGTTAGGGATGTTGTACAATATAAGCGTGGTTGCGACTCAGTTCGGCCCCACACGCCAATCAGCACCCCATCCCGCAGAATTTCCGGTATAGTACTACAATTTCTGAAAAAATAAACACGCTCAATTCACATATTGGCGGGCCAATGCAAATCGTTGTTTTGTCAAAGTATTAAACTAATACGAGATGGGTATCAGAGTTTTGATCAGAAATTTTCGGCACATTGTACCACAGTGATTCAAGTCCATTCTTCACAACTTTTCGCTCTCGTAGCGTGGATCTTCGTTGCTGCATGAAATCGAATTCATCCAGCGGTTGCATTTAATTATTTGCATATGTATAATTGTATATATCCAACCTTTATGAATTAAGTACCTCCAATTTGATCCGGTTCAATATATAATTTATTTGTTTATTATTTGCGTGACCTTTTTACAATTTTTATTGCGCGGGTTCCCGTACTTCTAGCCTTCAATTCCTTTTTCGTCTTTTTCTTGAATGGCGTAAAATACTGGTCAAGCATGTCTCCTTGCAATCTCGAGGATAGCCTGGCTGTGGCGTTCCATTAAGAGTTCTTGTTGACTGCCGGAGCGTGTTGGAGGATTGAGCTCGGCTTTCACGCGTTCCGTGGCGAACATCACACAACTACTTGGCGACGGCGCTCTTATATATATATGTATATGTATATATATATGTATATATACATATGTATATGTATATGTACGTATATATCCTTCATATATATGTATGTTTGGATGTATATACACGGATATACACATTTAAGAGAATGTAGCGCAGTGGTTAGAGGTGCTCTGCATCGCATACAAAGTGGGTGGTTCGACCTCGCGCTCATGGCTCACCGTTCAGTTGTGCATTTTTTCGCAATTATTTTGGTAGGCAACTTGCCTACACTTGCTTCAAGATGGAGTTGTCATGAAAACAAATTTCGCTTGCTATTCATGCACGGATGGCGCGTAGGATACAATCTTAGCGGAGCGCAGCGCAAGATCTATGGAGTTTGGAGCGGCGTAAAAAAATGCCTATTACAAAAGAGCTACGCAGAAAGATCTATACTGTTCATGTAGGCATACGACACAGTGCACATGCAGTTGAGTGACTCAATTACATAGACTGAGCATCATTTTAAATTCGTTCTCGACAGAGTCCAAATAGAGGAAACTGAAGAAGAAGATGAAGAAGAAGTTAATGGCCAATTGATAACACCGTAGCCCTGCACTTTCCGCTGAACACTCTCAAGGGAGTGAATCGGAGATAAAGAAAAACTCCTGATAGCTGAGTTAGCGGTAGATGGCGATGTTACGTAGCGTCTTTTAAATATCGGGTCATTGCAAAAAATTAATCTAAAATAATTTATTAATTTGAATAAACTCTTAGAGTACTCTCCATTCGTTCTTTCGTCCTACTCGTCACAGTTTCCAATAAGAACGGTGGTCAGCCGTGTTCTGATGAAGGAGTGAGAACTCAGTGCAATTCGTAAGAGTTAAGCGAAGTTAACGTCTAATCTATTACTAGGATGCGGCTTCGGAAGCAAGGTTACTCTGTATGAAAAATGAAAATATGAAACATGAAAAAGGTTTACGCAATAAACTTTTTTCAATAACAGTGACTCCAAGATTCAGCTAAACATGAGGCTATGTTGATATATAAGTTATATAATTTGTGCATCTGTTGCAACCGTCAATATTACTTTCAAAGATGAAAAACAACAATGTTTCAAACTCTATAAAGGTTGGAGATTATTACGAAATGAAAAATATAAAGGACGAGAAAGGATAACTGCCCGACTGACGAGATTGCAGGATAGAAACACTTGTATCGGGCTCTATAAGTCAGCCCATTTTAACAGAGCACATGACATGCATGGCTCAAAAATGATTTTTTGGCATATCGTAATGATCCCTTCGTTGCACTCACTCTGCTTGTTGAAGGTTGGCCGTTTTTTGAATATCTGATAATTCTTCATATGCACGCGAAATATACATATTTATTGATGTTCTGAAATTGCTGATATATCAAATTACATTCGAACAATTCCATAAAGAGGTGCCTAAAATTACGCAGTCCTTGGAGAGTACCATATCCAGGATCATCATGTTCTTTGCAATGGCTGAACTGGATATCGATTGACCACCGGAGTGGCGACAATTGTTTTGCTTTTGCCATATACAAAAAATTTCTTCACATTTGTTATGTGAAGAGATTTGTCAAATCGTGTAAGATATTCTCTGCTGAAAAACTGAGGAAATGGGGATGAAAAGATCTGCAGCTCATTCAAAGCCACCTTTAGACAATTATTTGTCACAACTGTTACCGCCACTACAACTATTTTCACTGGCTACTATTACGATTTCTTTCGATATTATCATTACTATTATTATTGTCATATAATATTCTCTAATGCTATTATTACTTTCGTTAACATCATTATATTATTGTCAGTCTTTTAGCATAGTCAGGCAATAGCCACTGTCCACTGCAGGCATTTGTCAATACAAGCTACTTATAGCGTGAGTAAATGACGAATCATGTCGTCTATTCATACAGTTCCCACCTGATGTTCCATCCTCAGTGTCCACGTTTATTAGCACTCTGGCGTTCAATCCGAGAATGAGAACGCTGTTCTCGTTATTGTGAATTTCTCTCTAGCCTTTCCTTCTAATCACTGCGTTCCCGAAGTATCTTGTGAGCAACGACAGTGCAGAGTTTTGAAACATGGCAGAAGTCTTCCTTTTGCAAAACATATAGGATCTACGATGCTAAATGCTATTTGCTGCTTAATTTTTTGATGGAAGGGTGCGAAACTGAGGTGCTCCGTGTTCGAGTAGTTGTGATGCTAGCCGCGGTGCTTGGACTAAGCCCCACCCTCCAGCACTCTCCGGCAATCAACAACGAACTCCCTATGGAACACCAAGGCTATCCTCGGGATTGATGAGACGTGCCCAACCATACTTTACGACGTCCAAGATGGAGATAATATACAAAATATATATTAGAATTATTGGGATCTGCACAGTGAAAAAAACTGTGAAGGCAGATCAATAAAGTGCCCAAGGATGCGATGTGAAATATAGTTGCAAGAATGCTGAAGAAGCAGAAGCTTTTGAGACTCGTTGTACGTGGAATGGATTTGAAAAACGTCTACCCATTCCGGAATGATTCGAGTGGTCCGAGTCCACCACACATACTCTAGGTCCTTAGTTTTGCTCGTACCTCGGCGTTCATGTCATGTATGTACACAATGCTAGCTGATTTGCAGATCCATAACAATGGTATCTAATTTGCGGATCCATACCAATATTCATAACCGTTTCCATTGTCAACCACCTACTAACTAATGATGCGTAAAATGTTTTTCGCGCATTGTTTTGGGGCACTATCACGTAGATAGCTTGCCAGTCATAGTGTTCCTTCATCCTTGTTATATCGCTGGTCAGTAGTCATTTTATTGCTTATCTATTACAATTACGGTTCGCTTCTTGCTCTAACGTTACTAGCGTGTACGATGGTGGGAAAGAAATTACGGCCTATACAACAGCAACCGGTCCACGAAGCCGCAATTAGTTTACATTGATTTAACAATAATATTGTTACGCACAAAGGTTTGATGGTCCAAGTATAGAAAACGATGTGATGACAAAATCGAAAGATTCAGTAGTGTAGTGGTAGTACACGTCTCCGGTGTGGATGAAACGTGAGTTCGACTCCCGCCTGAGGTCGTATTTTTGCTCACCACTCAATTCTCCTGGGTATATACGAAAATCGAAAGAATCTGCGTGGAAGGGCGTATCATAAAACTTCAAAATGAAATAGTGAGAAAACTTCTCATCTAAAAAATTTTATTTATAGAATAAAAGCAAACTTACAGGTATGTTTACTAGAACATTGCTTTTCATACACGCATGAGAACCACGTATCAGTTGCCTGTAAATACTAGTATATCTCTCTTCAAAAGAGACATCTGCGTAGGGTTCTGTAAAAAAGATCATTACTTAACTTTAGCATAATAAATTAATATACTTTCATACTGTTTGAATATAATGCATACATATAGATACCTTTTTGGAAGGACATTAAATAATGGCAAAATCTCATACGGTTTAATGGTAGCACACATAGTGTACAACTAATTCGTTTTATCTACCCGTCGCATTAGTCAATCCTTGCCATTTAGTCTTTCTTGACTGGTTGATTCGTGGGACGCATGTTAAGAAAAGAATCACTCAAGAATGCGACTTCGACCTCATAGAATTTTTATGCTATTATCTGTAAGTTTGAATCAGCTCACCTCATCGCATAGTACACGAAAAAATTTGACGCACATGCAAAATGTACAAAAGACCCAGCCAACAAGCTGACAAATGTTCGCTCAATATCAACATACAGAACAACAGTCATCAATAAGATAAATGCCGTGCTAAACGAACCTATCACCATCGATGAAGTGGTGATAATCAGCGATCGACAAATCTGCTTCATATCTACACTGCCTTAAAGAACTCTCTATGAATGTTTTTACAAAGATTTCCCGCCTCTTGTGAACGAACAGAGTAAGTTCAATATCTTCCCACATTATGAAAGCTTACTCATTCTGAGTTTCTGTAGAAAATAATTAAATAAAGCATAACATGCAAGAATCAGGGTATTAAGGACCACTACGCAATTTGCGAACATATTAAAAACTAAGCCAGTGAGCACTGCTGATGGCATGCAGACAATATTCCTGAAATTCAAAATCCAGTGCTTTCCCAAGCAATTGAACGAGTGTAGATACTCTCTGTCTCATTCTAATAATTGCTATGCACTACCATTTGTGTTTTTGTTTAGCAAATCAGGATGCCGTACCAAACGCCAGGCCATCGAAGACAAGGTGGACCGCACAAAAAGCGCGCTTCAACAATAAAAATGGACGAGAGCCGTTATCGACGGAAATCTTTGGGATGCTAAGCGCTGAACAGGGAGACCACTCCGATGGTCCGATTTCTTCACGAAAAGCCTAAAGGAAAAATATGATGCTCAACGTCTTCCTAGAACAAAAAGAACTTACATGACCGACTATCAATTTACTCATCAATGTGCGATAACTCCTTGATTTTCTTATTCAGCAAATACGAGGTTGTCAATTTGAATATATATCTCTTGCAGACGAACAGTACATTGAACTTGGTTGTGATGGTTGACGTTTCGGCTATCGCCCTCTTCAGAGCTTGAAAGAGTCAAACTGATATGCAAAACACTCAGACAAGCACTTTCATAACCAGAGCAGAACAGCGTATGTACCTTTTGCTTTATGGTAAGGCAACAAGGTACGTAAGCTGTTCTGCTCTGGTTATGAAAGTGCTTGTCTGAGTGTTTTGCATATCAGTTTGACTCTTTCAGGCTGTGAAGAGGGCGCTAAAGCAGGAACGTCAGCCGTCAAGACCAAATTCATTGACTGTTGGTCTGCAAAAAAAAATCTCCAAATTAACAACCTCATACTTGCTAAATAAAAAAATCAAAAAGAAACTCACTGAGCTACTCTTGCACGCAATAGGGAAAGATGGATCTACTACTGGCGACCGCACGGGTCACGCAACGACCAACTGGACGACAGATTGTGCAGGTGATTATTTGCATTATATAATGTGGCCTGTTTTGCTCTATATCCAGACCATGTGACTGTGTCGCAGTATGGACATTTACTCAAAAACAAATTCCCTCCAAAAATGCTTTTTCAATATTTCTGATAATTATTTTTTTGAGCAACACGCCATGTGGTCTGTTATACGCACTTGTACAGCCCAATACACGGGTTTCGGCTTAGATAGCCTCTTCAGATGGGAAGACCCTTCATCTTTAGCCAATCCTCTCGGAGTAACCCATACCCCCCTACATAGAGCAGGCTACGACATACAATATACATGTGCCTTTAAGTGAAATGAATTGCTAGATCTGCTTTTTCATAAATTGTAAGCCTACAGTTGATAATCAAGTGAGGTTTCGGTTAGAACGGCACCTTAATCACATGCGATTCCTCTAATAATCAGCCTACTATGTTGTAACTTTCAGAATTTTTGCTCTTCGTTTCAGCCATAAGTGCCTTGAACTTCACCTAATATCCCGTAGGAGATGAGAAGATTTTAAAGTATTTAGATAAGCTGGCCTGGGTTAGAGCTTGAGGTGTTTGTGGTGAGCTACTCAAGCAGCATTCAATAATTTCTCAATCATTTAATGGTCCTTTTCTGTTAGATGGAGCAAATAAATATTCGTCCCCATTTGATGGACAGGAATTTTTTATAGAGTTATTAGTACTCATTCGAAAGGTTAGTTACGTTTCACACCCGCCGCGTTACTTGATTTTTACCATGCATAAAATTGGCCGGAGGCACGAGTAGTGTATGAGCATGTAGAGGAAATGTCGTAACATCTGAGTCAATCGTTTTATCCGGAGTTTCTTCCAGATAAGAGAAAACATCCTATATGTAACAAGTTGCATCTCACATGTCTAACATTTCAGGCCATCGATCGATCTCCCCGCTTCCGGCACGTAGATTAGGCGGTAGACAAGTTCGCCGAATATGTGAAAATAGATATTATTTTCTCTGCCACACTGCAGTGAAGCGGTATTTCGCAGAAACTGAGCACAGCGTTGAAATCATTAAAATTTGCGCTTTCAAATGATTATAACAGTCCAAAAAAGAGCCTTGTCCGGTGAGTTGTAAGACAGAAACCTTTTCTTCTTCCTACAGCGATAACAAACATACTTTTTCATAAAGCAAGCACATTTTTGAGCGCTTTGAGACTTGTGATTTCGAAAGACTACTAGCACACTAAGGGAGGAGTTCTGTCATGCGAAATATAAGCGTGTTAGGAAAAAAACACGTGATCGAAACATAGTTTATTTTGAATTTTGCAACATTGTATAAGGATATTTTGAAACCTGGCCACTTATAGCTCTAGCCAAAGATTTGAACTTTCGAATGTCTTTTAACACTCCCATAAAGAATCTTACCCAGCGATTAATGTCGAATAGTCATTTGTCGCCGTCTAACAGAAAAATACCTATTTAATTTTAAGCTCTTAGGCTAATCGATGCACAATATAGTACACATACACATGCATTCAGTTTACCATATAAAAGTTTAAGTCGATCCAGTTCATTAGAAGCAACGAGCACATTGTCTGAATTTGACTGCGCATTGTTTTGATTATGTAGCCGTTTGTTCCTTCCCAATGACTCGAAGCTCCTTGTGATTGCGCGAATAGCGGGCAGTGACTCCCACTTGAAGGATATTCTCTGGCGAACAAACGTTAAGTTGAAAAATCTGGATCTATTTCTTGTCTTGTAGGCTTTCATGAGTTCATAACAACGATAAAGCTCACGGCGTTGATCGATCCCTGAGAAATGCGTCAATCATTCGTCATCAATTTTTGACTTCGTTTGAGGTGATTGAATGCATATCTGGCCTTTACAATGACTCGCGCAGGCCTCCCGCTGAATCGAGTCAGTGCTGCTCATCCTCCCAGACAAGTCTGAGACCAATCTGGTACCACTCTACCAATCCCAGAGCGATGGATGGCCTGGTGAGCCATGAGCGCTAAATCGAACCATTGACCTCGTGTGCGACGCAGGGCACCTCTAACCACTGCGCTACATGCGTTCTCATGAGAGCATACACGATTTTGATGACAGTCTTCGGTAACGAATAATCAGCAAAAAATAACAAAGGTATTTTCAGTGAGAAAAAAGAACACACTTTTCTTCCGCTTGCTTAGTGAGTATCCACGTGACCATGAGAAAAGCGTACAGGGGCGCTAACAAAATGTTTGTTGCTATGTTAAGTTTTTGATACAGCTTGTCTATGACGTAGCTGGGACTATTTTATTCAGCTCAGTGCGAAGATGGTGACGTTTGACACGTACACTAACATCCCAAAACAAAAGTTTCGAGATCAAAATAATGCTCACTAGAATTTCTGTTATAATAATAATCTATCTAATGTCACATTGAGAAACGTTGCTTTCGAGAATGAAAGAACCGACTAGTGGAATTGATTCCAGATAAACGCAGATATCTTGACGTATTTGATGGCCCTTACCATTGAAAACTCAATAAGCTATTGCTACTTAATTCTCTGCGGAATGAGGGATTCTTTTTAACACTCGATCTGTTCGCCCGTTTGGACGGCTGCGAAGATTGGTGCGCGTCCCCAATATAAATCCGGTTTATTTTATTTTTTCAAACACCTTATTAATCATACGTCTTCAACCCAATTAATTGAAGAATTAAGAAAACATTGTCTCCACGAAATGATAAAATATTACCAGGATACTTCTGTAAGGATAATTTAAGTGAAATTATCGCCAGTGCTTTCTAAAATCCTCTTTTTATCGAGAAAACCACATCACTGAGAAAAAGAACATATTGCGAGCTGTTATTGAACATTGTTTCTTGTTTTATCCATGTTTTTATAGTCAATCGGCACTGAAAAATATATAGGGCTGACTTACAGAGCCCAATACACGTGTTTCGACCATGACAGTCTCATCAGTCGGTCGGTACCACTTTCGTTTTTGCCAATCCTCTCACAATCTCCTATACTGAGAGTAGGTGACGACGAACATTTTGCACTGTCTTTCCAGTGAATTATCACTGAAAAAAACAGTGTTGTACACTTGATTGCTTGTTGATATCGTTGATATATCATACTTTTCGTTTGGAGAGGATTCGCAAAAGACGA